CACTAAAGCCAAAGATTTTTGCACATTTGTAATAAAAACACATCTACTGATGACGTCTTTCTGACGAAACTGCCAACTCCTGTTTTTATAGAGATGACTTCAGTGATAGCTGTTACTTTGCCTGTTAAATCCAAGACATTTTTCCACTTTAAACCTTTTTGGGCCCTCACCACTGAGACTGAGCATCTGCAGGGGCGACAGAGCATTACCCTCTGAAGTCTCACGGTGACACCGCCATGACACCGGAGTGTGTCGGCCCCCGTGGGACTGACCACTCTTCCCTGAGCGCAGATTGTAGGCGAGACCTTGAGGAAAAATTATTACTTTTATGTTGGCTTTATGGCTCATTTTTCACATTAAATGCAGAAAATCTATGCGGGGGTCAGAGAACACCTGGTTCTCCCTGCCGGCCCGCGGCGCTTTTTGCAACCTCTGGTATTGATGAAACATTCAGCGGAGCAAAGTATGCGGGCTATGTACTGCTGCTTTCAAGTCTCTATTTTCCACCGGCCAGTCTATTGGGACTTGTTCAGCTCGTATCTGCTGGGCTTTTGGAAATGTCAGCCACACACATCCACACACACACACACACACACACACACACACACACACATACACACAGAGTGGTGCACAAAGCCAGGCTTGTGTCAGTGTGTCCTTATCTGTGAGCCGACATGACTTGTGATAAGAGATAGCATTGGCAGAACAGGTCATAAAATCCCAGCTTTTATGGCGCGGTTATTGTCTTTCTGTCTACAATTATAGCGATTACTCATTTCCCCTCACCTGCTCCCCCCTCGGCCCTCACAGCGCACTTAATAGACTGCATTTTGCTAATGGAAAATTAAGTAGGCGCCGTGGCAGTGAGGTTTATAAATATGTAAAATAATCTTTTAATTATTTCAAGTGAATCTGGCAGCTAATCAATAAAGAGGGACGTGACAAACATACGTTTGACGCGGCCATTGTAAAGCCACTGGTAAGAGATAAGCACGGCCTGTCAGCGCAGTCCGGCCCTAATGAATATTTTGAGGCTGTCATGCAAGGAGAGAAATGGATTAATTGTGGCCCTCGCTAATATAATGGCTCCTTCATGAAGAGTGCAGGAGTGAGGAAGAGGAGCAGGAGGAGGAGGAAGGAGCCTGGTGGCTGCTGGGTTCAGAACCCCAGCGTCAAATGAATATTTATGAGGGTTGGGGTTAAGTAGATTTCTGCGATTACACGGGTAGCCACTTAGGCACGGCTGTTTATCATTTGTTTGATAATTGATTTAGCCGGTGTCATATTAATTTTGGTCATAGTCGTCTGATCTGAATATCCTACAGAAACGCCACCTTCCTCCGAAATATACACATTGAGCATTTTTAATTTTTAAAATGCTTTAGGAAAATTCTTGTTAAATTTTCTATTTTGCGATAATTTAGATCTTTGTATTGTTTACAATGAAACAGAAAAATGTCATTTACATGTAGACAAAGTCCGTTTCTGGTTGTACCAAATTGAAAAAAGGCCCCAAGCTGCTGAAATTCTTAGAAATAGCATTCCTATGGTTCAAAAGCCGAGAGTTTTCTCTTGCTGTGTCATAGACTACTGCTCCTCCCCCACTTGTTGCTGTGTACTCCTAGCCACCTTTAATGTACTACATTGTTATATATTTAAATACTGGTGTGTCTTTCCAAACTGCATTTTGTCCAAAGGCATTTTAAAGAAGCAACAAGGAAAGGGAAAATTTCATATACCCCAGAAGAGTAGAATTTTATCTAACAATTGAAACCTTCTAGATTCATTTTAGATATTTAAAAATATTTTTTGGACATTCAGAAGTTGTTTTTGCAAAAAAGGAATGATAATTTTTCACTGATAAAGGTGCAGATTAAGATGTAAACACTTAGATATTCAATGAATAATAATACCACGTGGGAGAAAAAGGACTTTTTGATAAAAATGTATTTTTTTCTTTATTTCACAGTAACCTACTCTGTTGTATAAAACAGACCATACAAAAATGCTAAATCTTTTCACGAAAACTTGAATAATTATGCAATTTTTAAAATTATTATTTTAACCACAATATGCCCTAATATTTTTCAGCAGTAGGAAAAACTGTTTCAACCTGAAATTAAAAGCAGTTACATCATGTTATCCTTTTTCCTGTAAATTTTACGTCTGTGGACTTTTTTCAAGGTTAACAATATACCATAAGAGTCTCATACATGTGAAGTCCATCCATTTTCTACCGATCAACTGTGCTTGGACCCGTCAGATAAATTGCAGAGTGCAGTTTAATTTGTTATTTAAAAAGATATGCACCCTTTGTCTCTTTATTTTTGCTTCACCAGCCTCTGAAAAATTCCCATAAACAACAGCACTTAGCACGGTGCCACCGCCTTGACAAATGGCACCCATCTCCCTCCCTGCCTGTGTTTTCCTATTTATCTCCCAGTCTGGTGTTGGCACCTTTAAGGTGAAAGACAACATAAAGAGAAGCGAACACAAATAAAGCGCAGCGGCCGCCTTCCTGGAAGCCGCTCTCCCTCCGCGGTGAAGTTTTGACCTTGAGTCTCGCCTTCCTCCATCACGGCTGGGAAGAGGGAATGACGAAGGGGAAGGGGAGTGGGTGGGTGGGTGGCGCGGCGGAGGTTCGGGTCACCAGCCGCAGTTCTCATCAATTAAATGCACGATGGTGTTTTGTGTCGGCTGAACTTATATGTCAAGGAGATGGGCAGGACCTCATGTTTGTGCTTTTGACAAATCAGCAAATGTTTAATCTCAAGATGTGCCGGCGAACATAAATAATGCAGAGGAACGCCGTCCCCCGCGTAGAAAAAGACGAGAAAAGATAAAATCCTGCCTCATGCCTCTTGATTTTTTTCCTTTAGCTCTTCTCCCCTTATCATACACGCAGCCTTACAAAAGTATTCACCCTTTTTGCACCATTTCTGATTTTTGTTATGTTACAAACCTAAGTTCTTTGGATTGTATGCAACAGACAACATGGCTAAAAAACTTAACATGATTGAAGAAGTCAGTATTGATAATGTTTGATTTAAATATTTGAAATATTGCCAAACTGCCACAGTTTTCACTCCACATCATTATTTTTTTATTTTTCAAGTTGCTGTGAAGCACAGTGGTGGAACCTTAAACTGCTGCTGCGCCAGTTACTCAACCGGTTGTTGCTAGGCAACCAAAGCGTGAGCGAGTTAGTTGATTCCACCAACCTTGTTTAGAGAGCCATGAGAGGTTGAGCAGCTGAAGCCTGTCTTGACAGCACAAAGCATAGATGAACCATGACTTCAAGGCCAACAGGAAGAAAGAATATGAGAAAAAAATAAGTTTAAGGCCTTACAGTTGTTTATAAGTTATATAGGAATGAGGCAAGACTTAGCTGTAAGACTGTGGCTTGTTTATTGTCATTTAACAACAAAAAACAATAAATGTCAGTTTGTTACGAGAACCTACCAAGATGGCTGCCAGATACAAAGGATCCCAGAAGTGTGATGTCAGAGGAGGACTATGTATTGAATATTCTGTTATTGATCACATGTCTAATTCAGTACATGAAGTAGTGTTTGATTGTAAAATGACAGATAAATTGCACATAATTTCCAAATGTTTCATGAATAAATTCCTCAATTTTAGTGCTCTTCAGTCAATACTGTGTGGAACCTTTTCATCTCAGAGGGAGAACATGTTTGAGCATCAGCCTTGACGTCTTGCCACAGATTCTCAATTGGATTTAGGCCTGTGCTTTGACTAGACCATTCCAGTTAGGTATGCACCAATAATTTGACCTGGATTTCCTTAATTTTGGGAAATTGGCGATCGACAGATACATGTAAAGCCTCTGCAATTGCTGTAGAAAAAATAATTGATAGTTTTTCTTTAGAAAAAATAATAGTCATCAGAATTGAATTGATCAAGCTCATCTTGATTTAGCATTTGATTAATTGCTTATTGCAACAGGCTTATCTTTATACCTTTTTAATATCAGGACTGATATAAATATTAATACTGGACTGATGCATCTCTCCTTGAAATTATTATTTTTATTCATGAATATTTTCATATTTGCATCAAACTTAGCTGTTTGTGTCCTCTGTTCTGTTTTTATTTTGTTGGATCAGCTCTTTCCAGTAGATCTGACTCACCAGCCTTCGCCCCAGTGTTTGCTCGGGGGTGTTGGTGGTGGCTGGGGGGGATAAGGGGGAGCAGGACAGAGACTTATCCTGAGCCAAAGGTCTGCTATCTCAAAGACACAGGGGATTGAGCTTGAGCTTAGCCTCCATTTGCCCTAAATGTAAAGAGGCCAACAGAAAGCAGTGTAGTGGAGTGTGAACCGCATCAAATCCCCCCCATTGCCGCTCTCCCACTTCTTCCCACAGACTTTGATTGGCTCGTCCACCGACTGGGAAAGTTTCCTGATTGTTCGGAGGCAAAATTAAGATTTTAAGCCTATTGAAGTTGATCTTTGCTCATTGAAAAGTCCATCTGAATGTGTGCTCTGAAAGGGTAAATTGTTGCATTGGAGGAGTGCAGAAAAAAGGGGAAGTGTACTGTACTGGCAGGACGCTGCACCTGTCGCTGTGCAGCTGATGGTGTGTAGCGGTTCTGGTGGACTGGGTCTGTCCGGCCACGTTGCCAACCTTATGAAGTCAGTGGTTTAATTAGAGGGACAGGCTGAAGGTTTTAAACTCACTATGAAGAACGGCAGCTGTTTTAAACTTGAGCTAATTAATCACATTAATGTTGAGCAATAGTTGCGGCATTGCTGACGTCTTTTCAACCTGACATCGTGTTGGGCCTGAACAAGCTGTGGCAATCTCCGTCCGTCCATTTGTTTACTGACGGACCGACCGCTTATGAAGGCTCCGTGTTTAAGTTTTGATCATTAAATAAAGATTTGTCCTGAATTCCTGCTGATCTTTTTGTATTTATTCTAAATGTTTCAGTCAGTCCTTTAATTCCTTCTAACATTGTTTCCTCTTCTCTCTCTGCAGGCTCTTGGAAGTTTTTACTTTATCCATGAGTCTGTGAAAAGCGTCTCCGAGTTTGATTTCGATGGTGAGATCACACACATACACACACCTCCAGCACACACCACAGATACATCACCAATCCCTAGAAATGAATCCTTGTGTCAATCCCATTTACCGTCTATTCTTGCTTCCATCAGAACCAGTCAGCTAAGATTGGCTCTTGAGATAATACGGAGGCAGCAGGACCGGATGGTAATGCTTATTAATATTAGGATTTAATTCATACAGTTTCGGGGCTGCCGGTAATGGCGTTCTACAAGTTATTGGACAGTTACAGCGGTCTCATCAGCCCGCCGTGTCAGAGGGCCTCGGGGTCCGGCGACCGCGCTAATTAAAGAAAGGATATAGATGTGGAGGCGCCTCACTTCCTATTAGACATCAGATCAGCTTTAGCACCAGTGAAGGACAGGGCGGCGGCGTGGGGGAGGGGTCACGCACATCTACAGGCAGAAGAAGAACTTCAGTCAGAAATTTTATATTTTGATCATTTTCTGGAGTGGAATGAAAATGTTAAATGTTAAAATAATAACCATTTTACTCGGCTTCTCTGTAATTTAACTCTTATCTGGGTTTGTGTCCCTTGGGAAAAGACAAATAAATTCTAATTAAAAGTAACCGTAAATTATTTTTCAACTTGGTAAAATATGTTATGGGTTGGCTTTTGCAGGCTGGAATGCAACGCAACAACTACACCTTTCTTTTTTGATTTAGTTGTCACATTGTGTTTGGTTGTCGTCTGTCGGCATCCCAGAAACGTCTGTCTGAGTGACAGACTGTTTTGTCCACTCAGATTGTGACAACACGTCTTTTCCACAACCCTAAAGTCAGATTCGGTTCTGAACACCGTCTGGACCATCCCCCCCAAAGACATTCATCTTCTCCTGTTGACGTCAATATTTCATTGGATTTATATTTAGCATCGTTTTGTTGCTGAAAAATGAAAGTTTGACTTGAGATCTAATTTGGCCTTCGGTTAAGGCGTTGCAGGTTTATACTATTGTTTCCTCTGCTTTTGGATTACACCTGCAGCTGGAAGACATTTTGAAATGACATATCTACTTTTGGATAGCTGACCGGTTTGTTGTAACCGTGGCAGCAAAGTATTGTTTTTATAATTGGGAGCAGCTGATTAGCTCACATTATACCTAAACTACAACCTCCAAATCACAGAAGAGTTGAAACACAGGCTTCATGTATGCAGAGCACAGAGAAAAGGAGGAACTCTTGGCCAGAAAGAGATTCAAAATGAAGCAGCAAAAGCAAATAAGGTGGATTAGCAGTGCTGGTGTCAAGCAGAACATGTTACTGTGGAATTTTGAGTTGCCTAAATATTGAGCTGTTAGCATTTCGTGACATTAACGAGACTGTCATACGTCAAAAGTCTTCAGTCAGAGGTTCCTTCATTTTTAGTTGGAACACTGACTGCTACAGGATATTCTTCAGATCCGCAACATCGCAAACCACAATTTTTCTTCGAAGATGCTTGGATGAAATGAGTTATTACATTTAATTCCATTCAAACAGATTCCAAACAAAGTATTTTTCAATTGGATGACCACAAACTAATAATCAGTCCAAACTTTCATTTCCCAACATTCTGTGCCATTCATCCATTCATCACATGTTACAGTTATTTTACCATCTTGTGATACTGATGAAATTTAATCAAAAGATTGATTTGGGGTTTGAACACTTATGCAACCAGATTAATGCTCCTCTTTATGTTTCTTTTCTGACAAGATATGTCTCACGATACACCGAAAAAAAAAAAAATCCAAATTGACTATATTCTTCATATCATGTAAACACAACATTTTACTCTTGGTATGTGTTGTTCATTTTTTAAGAAATGGTTTTGTTTTGCTTGATTTAAGAGAGTCCATGTTTTAATTTTGGCTTCATATTATGAGATCAATGCAACTGTTTTATTAGATATATCATCACTTATTAAACTGTTTATCCTTCCTTCACAGGCATTAAATATTTTATTCACATTTTAAAAAGCTCATTTTAATTCTTTTCCTGAAGTTCTTCAGTCTTGCCAGCAGGTGGTGCAGTTGCCACTCACTCGTGAAGTCTCCAAATGTAAACCAGTTTTTTTGTGACATTTCTCTCTTTTTTTCACCGTTTTTCTCCTTCACTTCTTCCCCCTCCTGTCCTTCTCTGTCTCACCTCTTCCTCCTCCTCTTCTTCCTCTTCAGACGGCAAATTTCGGAAGGTGATCGGGAGGGATGTCGGCATAATGAGCCCGGATCGGTTATCGTTACCCATGGTGCAGAAGGAGAAGTTCCCAGCGGACTTCTTTCCACAGGTGGGAAGAAATAAAGTTCATAAACACATGAATACTTTTTTTAACTAAATATTATTGTTGTTTTTCCATCATTTTGGATTAAAAAAAGTTTTATTTTTCATATGCATGCTCAGTTTGAACATGAATTACACCTAAAAAAAAAAAGGTCCTGGTTGCTTCCCGCTGATCGCTCCGCTGTGTTTGGTTTTCCTGTCAGACGGCAAGCCGCACGCACAGTGCCGCAGTGCTGATGTAGTAATAAAGAGCACGGCGGCCCTCGTGTCATCCCTGCGCTCCCCACTCATCCGTCAACCATGCTCCGACGGCCGCCTCCGCGAATATATGCAAAACAGATGGATACGGCCCCTTCACACACTTCCCCTCAATTTCCGTCTCTTTCACACACTTTAGGACCCCAAAAACACACACACATCCACACATGCGCACTCCCCCACTATCTCATTGTACATCCTAGAGATCCACAGAAGCAGCTTCAGGATCTCCTGATCTAGAAACAATTAAGGAGTGAAAACATTAACGACAAAGGCCCAGAAACAGCGTGAAAAGGATGAGTGGGAGCACGTGCGTGTGTGTGGGGCAAGCAGATGAGAAAAGTTTTGGCCCGTGATAGATGCCTCTTCCCCAGCCTGCGTATGAATCTGGGATGATGCTCCAGAGAGCACCACTCCACATAATGTTAGCCCATTTAAAAAGAGCAGATTTGTGTAGTCTATCAGGGTCGCAGAGTATTTTCCCCCTCCCTCTCTTTCTCCCTCCTCCTACGACCCCTCCGTAGTGAGAAATTGGTTGTTATCATAGATCACAGATACTGCTCAAACCTCTTATGAAAGATGAATTAATTTCACTAATGCTTTAATGCAAAGCTCTCATGAGGGAGGCAGACTGGTGATAACCCCTGCCTCGTCCCCGCTTCCTCCACCGCTGATTTATGCCCTCTTTTAGTAGATGAAACTGCCTAGATTTGCCATCCATCTGCAGCTTTGAGGAATCCCATTACTCCAGAGAAGGGATGTACGGGGAGGGTTGTTGGATCGGAGGGGACGCCGTGCGGAGTCCAAAACGAATCGTTTTAGTTTTGGGGCTCACACAGCTTGAGATCTGAGGAGGAACTTTGGCGACAAATGTTAAAGGAGGAGCTGATTTCTACCTTCTGATGAAGATTACAGTACAGAGTGACGACTCAGGTGTCCATGTCTTACCTTTACAAGGAAACATCACAAGGACTGTCATGAGCCCTCAGATGAGTGGGAATCATTTTCAACAGTCTGTTATCATCAGCTGGGTCACTATCACAAATCTGCGCAAAACTTTGTCAATATTCCGCTGATGTAAAAAAACACAATTTTGCGATTGCCATTTTTCCAATAACTAAGAAAAACAATTAAAATCTCACACAAATAAGTTTGTTCACGTGATAAGTCATTAAAAAAATCCCTGTCATCATCCTTCTACCACTTCCTGTCGTCTTCTTCATCTGTTCCACCAGAAGTGACATCCAGTTACAACAACCGCTCTTTGGATCTCTGTAAAAAGGAGCAAACGTCCTTCCAGCTGCACAGCATCCAGAATAAAGAAATAATAGGAGGATCACTGTCTAAAGAAGAAATGCCTCAATCACAGAAAATAGCAACTAACATAACCAAGCAAAAGAAAAGTAACAATTATTTCTACTCTTTAAAAAAAGACTCAATAAATTGCTGATTATTTTTATTGTTGTATGTTATGGGGTTGACGATCCATTCAGTTCATCATAACGTCCTCATCAAATGTCAGCAATATTTTAGGATTTGTTTTATTTTTTCAAGATTAGTCAAAAGTTCAGTTCAGGTTTGATTTGTTCATTTATTAAACATTTTGAGCTGGTTTATTTTTAAGGTGTTCCTGAAGCCAAAACAGCACTAGAATGACTCAGATCTTAAATGGTGCTTTAAAGAATCTGTGTTCAGTGAAATGATTCACTTCAGATTAACTTCTTCAGTTTTCATGTGTTTTGAACCAGAGAGAAAGAAATCGAAATCGGCTGATCCACAAACGTCCTCAAACAAAGTTTAAAATAATACAGCACAGCTGTATTTAAACAAAATAAAATAAAATTTTCAGTCGGAGAATCAAATGACAAATAAACAATTGAGGTGTTTATGGTAAATTGAATTTAATCGGTGTAAAAAAGCAATAATGCAGGCCATCACTTCTTTTTCACAACCGGCTCCTGAGTCGTAGCAACAAGGCAACAAGAAAGACAGAAAGGAGGATATTTATTGAAATGCTGAATAAAACGGAATTGGCCCAAATCATGGGGCGCATTTCTTTTGAAAGGCCTCTGTGATGGATTTGGACGTCTTGTCGTTCTCCGTTGTTCCGTCCATCTCCACCTTCCCCCGTGGGACTGAATGTAAATACTCCTTTGGCGCTACGTGCGTCCAAAAGCCACTGCATCATAAGGATTTGTCATTGCCTAATATAAATAAAGTATACGACCCAGACCTTAATGTGCCCTTGGTATTGATTGTTTTACACAGGCGAGGAGGGGGGAAAATAAGTGAGAGAAAGGAAGAAATGAACAGACAGGCTGTAGATCAACATCTATATGAGTTTGTTGTTTGGCACCATCAGTGCGTCCATAAAAGCACCAACTTTTTATAACCTTTTAGTGCCCCCTGTAGTAAGCTTCTGTTTCAGCACTTTGATTACTTTAAAGTTCAGACCTCCATGGAAGTTAACTTCCTTCCTGTTTCCTCCCCTCCCTCCGCCGTGATTCATGTTTACGTTAAGGAGATGAAGTCATTTAAAGCGGCGTCGCTTGTAAAACGCTCGCCGCGTTTATCACCAGACAAGACACCTGTGACACGGATGCCGTCCTCCGTGACAGGCGTGATCCATGAGACGGCGAGGAGCTCTCAAATGAGAGGCTAATGTCGAGATGAAGGCTTGCCGAGCTCATTTTCGCAAATAGAAGGCGAGTAAACTCTGCTGCAGGGAGTCGCTTTGCGGCTGTAAACCCTGTGTGGGGCCCTTCTGTTATTTAGTGGGGCCCCTTGCAAGATGATGGAATAAGGATAGATGTGATCGTCTACCGAGGCTCAAATCAATCAGTGTTTGTGTGTATTACTTATTACTGGCTGTGCATTTCTGTCCTGCACCACTAAAACACTCCCACCCCCTTCCAAACATCATCCTGCCATAATGTTATTTATGGGGGTCAGGCTTTCAGCTGGAATATACAAAAGGTCAAAGAATCAAAAGAGATGGACCAGGAAATAGTCATAGGAGGGTGTTGTGAGGCTCTTCTAATAAATCCTGACATTTAAAAAAAATGTCTGTAGTCACAGTTGTGTAGTTTTTAGTTGTGGGATAAAAAGAATGGCTTGTAGCTGTTTTAAAATTACACATACCAACCCACAAATGATGAAAATCCCATTTTGGCACCCAAACACAACAACAGATCCACATTAAATCTCTGAAAAATAGAAGTACATCACATTAATTGGATTAATCGTGATTTATCTATTAGTCAAATAATCGTCACCTTGTTTAGTAAACAATGAATCATTAACTGTAATACACAAACTTCAAAAATGCCAGTTGCTGAAAGATAAACATATTCAAAGCAGTTATTAAGCCAAAACTGTATAAAAATATATAAATTTTGCATTTAAGATGAAACAAAAAAAAATTCCCATTTCTGAGACTGAAATTAGACTTTAAGAAGATTAGCAGCTGTTTTAACATTTTTTCCCTTGTGAATAGCCTTCATCAAAGCGCAGTGCTGAACTTCAGATGGTTTGGAAATGGCCTTGGAGCCATTCCCAGATTGATGGCCAATGCTGATGTCTTTCTGTGTTTGAATTGAGCCTGCTTTTATAGACAGTCTTTCCATGATTTTGCTTTTGTGATTATTTTTTATTTTTTTGCTATCAAAATCGCAAATTTTGTGCTGCTACTTTGCGCTTATTTATGACCGTAAATGTGACTGTTTGTTGCTCACCATATCGATCTCAGGCTATTAGTCGACAGTTTTGTAGAAGTAAGAAGTACTGCCACCTTCAGGTGGGAGTTAGCAGTCACTTAAGCCCAATGCGCTTGACCATTTTGGCAAACAATTTACTCAAAATTATAAATTGGCAAGAAACAAATGCAGAGAGTTGTTCATTTTATTTTTATTTTTTTGTGAATTTCTGCAATCCTGTAACTGTGGAAGGACTGATATATAGTTGGTTTGAGTCTGTGATGTTTTTCTGTACAAATTTGAATCGTTTTAGAACTGAAAGGAGGTGTGCTTTCTTTTCATCATGCCAGTATTTTCTTGAATACTTCATTTTTCTGCCATCTTTTACCCCTCTGTGTGGGTCTATGCTCGGCGGTCAGTCTGTGCATCGCCCAACGTCCTCCGGACGCGACCCTCTCTGCAGCCGCCGTTCATCACTGTCGCAGGCGGAGACGCCATCACTGACCTGTGGAAGCTGAGCCAATGTCACCCTGAGCCTCGTGGCCTTCCTGCTGCCCCTCGCACCCACCCACCAAACCCCCACCCACATCCTGGGATGACATTATTATTTGCACCCAACATGTCACTCCGTCAGTTTATTGTTTTCAGGATTACTAACGGTTAATTCAGCTACTGATTAGTCTATCGATTATTCTTACCAATTAATTAATCGATTAATCACCTGTCCTGGTTATTAATCGATTATTCTGATTATTAATCGGATAAAATGACACATTATGCAGATTTTTGATTTAAACCTTTTTGATATATCAAATAGCTCAAAAAGTGCAAAGAAATAATCAAATTCCTTTTTGATATCATAAAATAAACTTTTTGTTCCCTTAAATGCGACAACGTATCATTAAGTTAGTGTACTCTTGATTATTTGTAAAAAAAAGATTAATATGGAGCTTAAAATATATTTCTAACATCAACATGTTAGAAGCTGAGCTGTTTCTGCTTGAACTTGCATCAACACAGTGTAGAGCATGTCTGTTAATTACATTTTAAATTACTGATTAGTAAATTAATAGCAAAAGGTACTTCCAGAATTAGAAGTTAAAACTTTGCCACTTGTGTTATTTTTAATTACAGAAAAATTTTTAATTTTGATGTAAATGCAAAATGGATATGTCTCTTCCAACAGTTTTTGGTTTAATTACTGCCTTGAGTGTGTTATTCTTTCAGCAAAATGGCCTTTTTGAGTATTTACACTCCACTGAACAATTAATTGATAACTACATTCAATCTATTCATCGTGATTAATCCCATTAATCGTTTCAGACCTATCTTTTTTACTTGATAAATGGATTTAAATTCTGTCATTTTGGTTGTTAATGCATAATATTGAGTGTACCTGTATTGCACTCTTCCTGTCAGCCGCTAGATGCTATCCCAAACTGGACTCTTGTCCCAGACGGAACCGGTTTCATTGCTGCAATGACTGAGAGCTGCCTTTCTGTTTTAAAGTGCGAGACTTTGCCTTTGTGTGTGTTGTTTGTGTGTGTTTGTAAGGAACCGGGGGGTCAATCAGTCATATGTGCAGGAAATGGGGTAATCTGGGGCCAGGTGTCAGAAAAGTGATGGATTTTAATGCTGTGATCGTAGTTAATGGCTCTTTAAATTAAATCGAGATTAATCGTCTCTGGCGGCAGTCAGATCTCGTACGAATCCCCCACCGCCATCCCTAACCATCATCTTTCCACCTCCTCATCCTTTCTAGCGGCTTCCCTTCCTTCCACAACTTTACAAGCTGAGGGATTTGTTCCTGCTGTAAAGTAATCGTATTGTTCTGAGGATATAAAGTCCATTATGCCTGTAGTTACTCAGCCTTTATTGTGCGTGTTTCTCCTTTTTATTCACTTTCTGAGTGTGTAAGGTCAATCTGTTTTTCCAGAAGGGTGAAACTCATATCTAATTCCATTTGCTCTTTTCAAAACCACAACATTGGACGAGTGAGTTATAATTGGGCCCATGCATCCTGCAGAGGCAGTATGGATTAATTCAAGTATGCTAATGTAATTCAATTTGATACAGTTAATCTTCTACTAATGCAGATTGAAGGATGCAAGGCGCAATCAAATACCTCTTAGCCCTTTAATTTGCATCTGGGTTTTTTAAATAAAATTAGTCAATTTGTAATTATGCGACCTGGCCTATAATTAGTTTATTTATCACCGCAGTTAACTCCCGGAGAGGGAGAGAGATCGACTGGAAAAGAAAGAAAGAGGTTGTGGAAAATAGAGTTATTTATCTTATTCCGAATGAGAAGACTCACAACATCAATTTGTCTCTCATTTAATAACCAGCTTCCTGGTGAATCATGCGCTGTTTGATCATGTGCTGCTGGGGAACGAAGCAGCTGGTTTGATCCGATCTGTCCAGGACAAACCCGGTGAGGTCTGATCCAAACAGATCACACTGCAGGAGGTGTGACCTCTGACCTCAGCTTGGTCTGGTGTCTTTTCTATAAATAGGTCAGAAGTTGTATTCCTTTTTTATTGAGGTCCAAGCCAAGTTTATTGTTATTTTATTGCAGTTTACAGGGAAAGAAATAATATTGCAAGTTAGCAAATCGAATATTTTAGGATCGCATTAAAGAATCCAAAAAGGGAAATTTACAATATGTTGACATCAAACACACTGATACATTTGAATTGATTATTTATGTCCATTTTAAAGACTGTATTGTACAACCAATGGAAACTCAAAATTCAGCTTCTTCATAAAACTTGAAAATTATATTAAAACTATTATCTTTAAAACCATTATGTTATAAGTCAAACATAAATGTTATGAAAGTTCAGTTTCTGTCATAACAAGAAACTTATTTCAAGAAATACGTTTGGCAAAGTTACATCCAATAATATTAAAGGAAAGTTAAACGGAAGAAAAAACTCTGACAGATTGAAGAATTTGAATAATTTTGGGGTTTTTTATATGCCCTCATGTGATGCTTTATGCTCTGTTACACTAAATTTTGAGACTGAAGATAAGGAAGACCATGGATGCTAGCTTCTGCAGTAGCAGGTATATTTGGTGTTTCAAATATTGAAGAAGCCAGTCACAGTTGTTTTTTTAGTCTTTCTGTCTCCGACTTCTTTGACTTTACTCCAGATCAGCAACTAGAAGGTAAAAACATGGACATAGTTGGGTGTTCCAAGACGATATAAATCATAAATGCATGTCAGAATTTATTTTTAAATGTAGAAAGGAGGCTGAGATTAACTTGTATCAACCCAATTGAAAATCTTTCTAATATGCTTCAAATCCAGGTCTGTGGAAGGAAACCGACCAGCTTAAACAAAAAAAAGTGATCAAATATCTCGCTCAAAAAGCATTGCATTTCAACAAACCACTTCTGAAATGAAATACTCTCGTCATCTAATAGCTTCCACTCATCTTTCTGTCAAAATTTGCCTGATAACAGGTTCTAAACCGAGTCTCTTTGTTCTGCAGTGCCAGTCGTCCAGAAAGGGATTCCTCAGAACTCGATGGGGCCTTTCCAACTGGTGAGTTTTATTAACAGCCGTCTAACAGCAACACGTCCCACCCACCTCATCACTGCTCAGCCTCGAGTCGTTGCAGCTCTATCAGCACGATTAGGGCCGCAGATCCAGCCGTGTCAGTCGCGTCTGACGTCTCCCAGGTTAGACGGGGAGAGCTCCGTACGTACCGTACCCTCTGTGGGCCCTGCGCCACCGTATTTGATTAGACGTAATCCCCTTAGTCAAGCAGCTGCATATGACAGATGACAGAAAACATTAGATGCAATTGAACCTGCACGGCATGAATAGAAACTCCCAGTGTGCAGAGGCGGCGGGGGGATGGGGGGGATTGTAATCTAATAGAGGGATGACATGAGGACTAAAGAGCTGAAACGGTAAGCATTTAATAGGGGCATGACGTTTGACAGCAGCGGCAGGGAGAGGCCGACCGGTGAAGAATAGGAGATCAGATCTGGGACGGGATAAACACGTATTGTCTAAGCCATGAATGTTGTCATTTGTTCAGGATGTCACTGCAGAATAAACCTTGAGATACGATCAATTCCTCGGACCGATACAATCAGCAGGGAGGTGTTCATCAGCACATTGAGTCGTCTTGCTCCCCCCCTAACAGGACGGGGTGAAAGAAAGCCAATCAGGGGTTTAAAATGTCACACGGCTTTTCTAATAAATATCCTTAAGGCTCTGTTTAAACAATAATAATTAATAGTCTGCTGTGAAAGGGATGTTTCGAAGGAAATGTCGGTCACAATTTTTTTTTTTTTCCGTCACAGTGACTTCGATCTGGTCAACGTTCACCTCTTCCACGACGCTCACAACGTTATGGCCTGGAAGGACAGTCCTTCCTCCTACGCCGGGATCAGGCAGAAGGCCGTGAGCTTTATTCTACAAAGGTAACGGACCAGCAGGAGACATCAGCCATTAAACACATGTTGACAAAAAAAAAAGCAATATTTTCAGTTGAAAAAAACTTTTTGATGTTAAATTAATGAATAAATGAACATGTGAGCTCAACAACAAAGGTATACATAGCTTTTATTTTGTTATTTAGGTTATTCAACCGTCAGATTGGTGCAAACTGCTGTTATGTCCATTCAGGATCTCCTGATGCTTCACTGAACGTCTTTGAGCAGATAGTGTTTTTAGGAATGTGAACTAGCGTTGGGGATGTCTGCTGGTGAAACATGTTTAAAATTAGCATTGATGGGCTATTTTAGGTTTGAGCTCCTTTTAGCACAACTTGGACACAATAATCTTTCCCAATGTCCCATTAGACTGTTTTTTGAAGCAAAAGCTAGCCCTCGTCAGGCGAAGGGAAGCAGCTTTGTCGTTCATCGCTATGGTTTGTGTGTCAGATTCAAGGACGTACCGCAAATGTTCTGGTCAAAATATCAACTTTTGTTTATATTTTGGTCTTTTCATTCCTCCAGAAAATCCAACTTTAACCATAAAGATGCACCAGGTGGTTGCTAATTGCTGCTGACTAGTCTGTAGGAGCTGAGTGAGGGCGTCATGGGGGAGGCGTAAGCTCAGAAGCTTGGAAACTGAAGGAGCTTCTTTCCTTGAAGGCGGGGCTTGATCCATCCAACCATGGAGATTAAAGGATTTTCCCAAACATACATGAAAGAATTAAAGCAACATTGCTGGTATTTTTTTGATGAGGAAATAACATTACAACATGATGTAAAGCTCAGAAGCTACATAATAGTGTCCTTTTAATTTCTCTGCTCTTGCTGACGTTGTAATGATTTCTGCATTCAGTTCAGCCTCCATTCAAACGGGCCACCGTATCCCCCTCCTGCTCCATGCTAATGTGATTTATGGCGTTTCCATTTGGAGCGGGGCGGGATGATGGAGTGCACGGTGCCACCCCTGCTCCCTACCTGGCCGTGCTAACTCAGAATAAAAGGCCGGTACCGGCTCCCAGCCGCTGACCTCCCATTCAAACGCTATAAGAATGCATGACACAGCTCCCCTCCACCTCCGCTTTGAATAACTGCGTACATGCATATGGGTGGAATACACGGCCATTTCTGCCAGGCGCTGGTTATGAGGTCCTTTCTAATCTCACAGAGGTGACATTTAGCCTGTACTTCTTTGTTGATTTAATGAATGAAGGCCTTTAATGGACAGCGGAGTGGGAGTGTTTACAGAATATAGCAGCTTTTGCCGTTTTTATCACGTAGTATTTCACCTGACATGATGTGGTTTTTAAAAGGACCTTTGTTGTTGCTCTCCTTGAAGTGTTTTCCGTAGGTTTTTACGGCTTACGTCATGCTTTTTCCGTGTTTTTTCCGCTTTAGTGCCCTAGTAAATCCCTCTGTAGGAAAAACACAAATGTTGAGCTTTGGAAGAATTTCCACTTTAATGTTGATGAAGAGAAAGTTAGTCTGAGACAGAGAAAGAGAGGGAATGAATTCCATCCATCTCCATTCCTCCCATATAATTTTCCACATGTGAAATTTATTAGATTTTCTTCCCCCTATGCATTATGGGAGATAAAAAATAAAGTTTCTTTATTTCCCTGTGAACAATTCTCCTTTTATTCCAGGGTTGAGTTTGTGAGGTAAAAGCTGGAGTTTGTCCACATTTGTCAAAAACTAAAAAAGCAAAGGCTGCATGACAAGCATCTCACTGCTTTCCCCACACATCACTGCAGGCTGCAGAGCAGAGCGCTGCCTTTTTGATGCGACTTAATAGTGGCTAAACGCCTTTCCTCAGCATTGTTCCCCAGAGGCCTTTAAGTACTTTGGAGATAAACAATGTTTAGCAGTTAAAAGGGCCACTGAGGAAAAGCCTTATCAGATGTGTTCTCAATGGGCTGTAAGCAGCATTATTAGGCCAGACACAGATAAGGTGCAGCCTGAAGCTCGGTCTAGGCGGCACTGACATGTGATCGCAGTGTGTACGCCATCCCCTCCCATCTCCAAGTGAGAGATTAAACCTTCCACTGGAGAGAGAGAGCGAGAGAAGGTGGGGGGACTGGCTTTAGGTATTCCCCCTGTCCCTTTTCCTGCTTTCCTTCTGGGGGTAGGAGTCAGAGTTAGGACAATGGCCAAAAAGATGGTTCCCAACCAGGCGTTGAATGGAAACACTGTTGGTGGTAGCGCCTCATTCAAAGCCCGGCCCTGGAACATTGTCCCCCCAGATCGGTGGAGTAGAATGGAGTTTGCTGGTGGCTGCCAAAAGGTTAGCAGCCTCTGTGAAAGGAGCGAGCCATTATTCACTGCCCTTTACAGAAGCCGAGCAGCCTTTGTGCTCCTCCTCCCCTTCCTTCTGAAAACCACCGGGTTGTTTCTCACTCCGGTGCTCCGGATCTGCGCACGACGGTTTCAGAGAAAGTGAACAGGCATGAAAAGTGCTGCACCCAACGTCTTTCCCTTGCAATACCGGGAACCGTGAAATTCCATACATTTCCAGAATTATAAACCCATGTTTTTCCCCACTTTTAAATGATAAATTGTGAAAGGGAAGAGCAGGCATGAATGTGAATGGATAAAATCTGGTTTTTCATACTTATACAAATCTGGAAGTTCAAATTCTACATTGTTCCCATTTTATCTGATGGCGTACTTAATTCAACATAAATATGGTACATAACACTCAAAAACACAACACTTTACCAAGTTTTATTGGTCTTGTTCATTCCACATGAAGAAACATCTCATGAGATAAACACCTGAACTTAACTGCATTTCTCAGCAAGAATAATTTCATGTACAATTCGTTTTATTTATTATTTTTTGCTCCAGTGATGCTAAACCTCAGATTATTCTGATGAAAAACCTTGGCTGTTAAATGATAAAACCAACACCTTTCCCTCAATCTTCCTTTAAAAAAAAAAAAAAAAATCTCCTTTGTGTGTTGAAGTTTGTTTCTTTTTCCAAGCCCCTTTCAGAGTGGCTGGTCTGGTTCAGGGGAGAACAGTTTTACATTACAACTGTGAAATCCTGGTATAAAGGCTTCCTTTGTGATGCACCATTATTTTCACACAAATATAGTCCATTGTCACAGTGCTGAAGTTAATTTGATCAACATTGGGGACATTTAACTGTTTTGTTCGCTGAAAAGACTTGTTTCATGCTCATTTTCGGGGCCATTGAAAAGGAATGATTGGCAGAAAAATAATGTTGCCGTTAACAATTCAAAGCAATTAGTTTCCCATGGGGAGGCAGTGGGCTGCACTGGCCACCACACAGCGATGCTTTGTCATTTTATGGAGGGTCATCAGTCAACTGTCACAGCGTCTCAAAGAGCCCTCCAATCTAAATGTTTCCCTTTAGGCTTTTCCCAGAACAACAGGCTGAAAGAGCCGAGAGAGGCCAGCTCATCTCCAGCCAATAGACATGTTGAGCAGCAAGAGGGAGGAGAGGATAATCACGAGCAGGTCCTCCACAAAGCCACAGAGAACTTCTCAAGGTGTTCTTGTCTCTGCAGACATTATGCTAATATTTCCATATGCAATTAACACCTTGCGATGTCTTAAATCCATATCAATAACATTTTCTGTAGATTTGACCAACTTTTACTAGAACGTCCAAATGAAAATTTAGATACATTTATAGAATTTCAGTCATTCAAGAAAAGTTTAACCAGAATGGACAAACCTCATGTAAAAATGCGGTTTACCATTTTTTGTGTTCCTTTCTAGACAATGTTGTTACTTTACAGTAAGATAAGCAGATTATGTAATCAACATTTTGGAGCTTTATATCTTGTTATAAAGTTATTCCCTCATCAAAAACATACATGAATGTCGCTTTGATTCTTTGATGCATGTTTGAATCTCCTATGGCAAATATTCAGATGTGCTTAAACACTTGCTCTCACAAAGCTCCGCTTTCCTCACTCCGCTCCTTCAGACTAGCAGCAGCAGCAACCAGCAAACACCAGGTGGAACTGCAAGTTTTCTGACTTCATTATGCAAACTACTTCAGTCCAATGGTCCTAAGAAAGGTCATAAACATGGAGGAGTTCTGTTGTGATTACTTGCTAAAGGTGGAGCGGTATAGGAGCTACTTAAAGAGACAGAGGCTCAATTTCAAGGCTGTTGAAAAATGTTGATTCCTTTATTTTTAATCTATTTTGATGGGATTGTTGTTATGTTAAAGACTCATTTTGGGTCAAAGTTTTTGTGTCAGATGACTTCATATTTGACACTAGTCTATAGTTATCTCAATAATTACAAGATGCCAAGTTTCATTGGCTGCATAAAAAGATCCAAATCATCACCGCTTCATCACTATCCTTGACATTTGGTTAGAAATACTGACATCCTACGTAATAACTCCAAATTTGTCATCTGTCAAAAGGACATTTCTCAAGTTCGGTGTTGCAACAATGTTGTAAAGTTAGTTCCAGATTAGAGTACCACAGAAACTGAATGCTGTTTCTCCATGTTTGGTTCTGGTTCTTCTGGAAAAACTTCCAAGAACCAGTTTATGTTTTCGTAAGCCTGAACATTTGAAATGCTTGTCAAGTCAAGTCTGAGATGGAGCCGTTTCACTGAGCATGACCAGTATGGTCTTTAGATGAATTTGCCGGGGCATTTACAACCGAAACAAAGGTTTGCCACATGAAAATAATCTATCAGATTGTTTTGAAATTAGCTTATAGCCATCAGCAAAATTATGGGTGGCAACAATTGCATCTCTTACATCATTGATGATTCCATTGTGGTAACACACTCTACACAAAATTTGTGGAACATTTATTCGAATAGCCAGAATGATATTATCAATATCTTTGGAGACTTGTATTGTCTACCAACCTGTCTCCTGGTCTCTTATTCAATTGGACTTTCTCTTGAGTGGTCCCTAACCTCTGTGTGACCGCTGTCCACTTATGTACCCCCCACACACCACATCTTTCCTGCGTGGTGTTCTTATTGGGG